ACAGAAGCCAAATCAATCAACCCTAATTTTAAGAACCAAAGACCAACTGAAATAGTATGATTTGAACTGTCCAGCAAAGGAGCTAACCTGACCTTCCTTGTGAGAGAGTTACATGCGGAGTGCTGCTGCTGAGAAAGCTGCCACATGTACTTGCCAGACTAGCCTTCTGGGTGAAGAAAAGTGCAAATGGTCACCTTCGGAGGATCTCAGATTTCAGGCAGGCTCCTTTGCTGAACGCTGCTGTGCAGTCCAGCAAAACTAACAGGGATTAAATTTTCCTGATGAATTTCCGATGCACATCATTTACCAGGACAGCCAAGATTGTTTCTATCCCAAAATCAGAACTGAACACAGCTCGGCATGAATTCAGGCAATCTATTTCATCCAAGAAAGCCTGCAGTTGTGCTGTTACCAAAAGACCTATAGTTATCTTGGGTGCTGGGGTCCAGTGAAGGTCTCCTGTACACTGGACCCCAGCACAGGATTTTTCTGAGCAGCATTACAACCTCTATTACCTAAGTGGTCTGTCCTCCTTTCGCAGTTCTAATCAGGAAGGACGGACAAAGGTCTAATACACAAGTGGATGGCTTCACTTCCCTAGGCAACGTGTTCATATATCACATTGAACAAATTGAAACTCATCCACCAAAATAGGACAAGCATGTACCTCAATTATTTCCACAGAGTCTACTTTCAAGGTGGAGTTCAGGTCAGAATGGATCTGAGCAATTATGTCTGCAAAAGTTTTGGCAAATTCATCACAGTTCATTTCTAAGGCCTTCTCCTCAGCAGTCTGAGGTATAGAATGTAATAGCCCCTTTACTAAATGAAGCTACTATACCTGACAAGAATTTGCCAAGGTAATAGGGACAGGGAAGAATAATTTATTTATGGCTCTCATTCTGTTCAATAAACTTTGAAATGAATCAAAACTCATATATGATTATATTCATTCTAAGTCTGCCACTGTCACTCTACTCTGACTGATTGCCCTAAGTTTTTCAGAAAACAAGGAGCCTAAACCTGTGGCCAAAATAAAATAAAATAAAAATTGGGGCAGGAGGTGGGGGTGTTACGGGAGTGTCCCCGTTTTCCAAGATTCCGAGAGATCAGCGAAGAAGGAAGAGACAGAGACAGCTGTTGCAAGTTCACAGAATTTATTGCTTACCCCGGGTAAGGGCGCCCCAGCTTCAACATGGCTGATGTGGCACAGAGCACTACCCCAAAAGCATCCAGTATTTATAGGCAGAATTACTTAGTTTGCACATGCGCATAATTCTCTTGACATTTACACAATCTAATCAATATCAGTTTGTCCTCGAGGAATCGCAGCCAAGAACACTTGTTTGGCA